ATTATTCCAATCTTCAGCAGCCTTTGTGAAGTCACATTTAACACTTAATTTCAAAATCATCAACTTGAGAACTTGTTCAACTTTCAATCAATTTCTGTTACCTGTGAGCACGAGTTTAATTTGAGAAAATATTCTTTCAACTTCTGCTTTTGAAGTTGGTATCACACATGCTTTGTTCAATAACTGTCAACTTCTTTCCATTTTTCCTTCAGGAATTTTAGTATCCCCGACAAAAGAAGTTTTTTCTTCCCAGTCTTTTAAATAACTATCAGCCACAACCATATACTTTCTGTTATTCAAATCAGAAATTTCATCAACTGGAAAACATAGACTTTTGTTAATATCATTCAAAAGTTCTCTTTCTTTGACAGAAGCCAAGACATTCAAAAATTCATTTGCCTCTCTTTTTCAAATTATTCCACTCTTCAGCAGCCTTTGTGAAGTCACATTTAACACTTAATTTCAAAATCATCAACTTGAGAACTTGTTCAACTTTCAATCAATTTCTGTTATCTGTGAGCACAAGTTTAATTTGAGAAAATATTCTTTCAACTTCAGCATTTGAAGTTGGAATCACACTTGCTTTGTTCAACATTCTTGATATGTTACTTTTTCAATCACTTTTGAAGTACAAAATTTTGCTAATGGCGATGATGATGAGAAATTATTAATAAAATGCCTATGATATGAAGGTTCGAACATTAAAATAATCTTAAAAATCTTTCGAAGAGACGAGTGCCCAGATGGGGCACCATTCGCAAACACAAACATTCGCTGCTCTGTTGTTCCAACAACTTCTTTATCTCCATCGAAAGTATTTGATCTTTTAGAAGTAATTCTGACAATCTTTGATCCCCACGATTCACAAATTGCTTTTGAAATGGGAATGGAAAATATAAAAGTCATAAACATTTTGAAATTGGAAATCTCTTAATTTAATTCTTTTACGGCTTTCTTTAGAAGCTCTCTTGATAAAAATGGTGATCGATTTCTCCTGCTGTCTGCTAAAAACTGATACACCCATTTTATAAAAATGTTATAGCCAAAAGCTAATTCATTAATTTCCTCCTCAGAATGGCAAAGAAATGGGAGAGGGATATTACTGATAAATGTGCTGAAATTTGTGCAGTGTGTCAAATGTTCCTCTTCTAAAGCCTCATCATTCCTGGGAAATGGCAAGTGGTTAATACTAAAGAGAATTTTCATTCGTTTAATGATAATATCAGAGTTTTCTCGTTTTCAAAATATATTTCATACTGCTCCAATACGGAATCAATGTTGATTATCATTTGCATTGCATCTGAGGAAAATATAGAAAGAATTATTAGACAGAGAATTATTTCTCAGAATTATTTAAGATGTAGCGTAGTCTTTCTGGAGCTAACAGGCAAATCTGGCAGAGCAACTTCTTGAAACGTACTTTCTGACAGAGGAGGGATGAAATGTTCTGTGAGATTATGAGCGCAAACTTTTAAACCTTCAGGTCATTATGGTATAGAAGAATGTATGAGATATGGGCTGGGGATTATTCTGCAAGACTACCGGAGGTAGATGGGGGATTCGCAGAAAAATGCTGTCACTTATTCAAGATACAAGTTGTTCAGCAGGAGTTCGTTTGTTCTACGACGTAGGCCACAGTTTTAGGCACTTTCTGCTTCAGGATATATATATAAGAGAAATAACGTATACACTGTTGAGAGTTTGATAAAACACAAAATTTCTTTTTAAAGAAGGATGCGTCTCTTTTTCAAATTGTTCCACTCTTCAACGGCCTTTGTAAAGTCACACTTGCCACCTAATTTCAAAATCATCAACTTGTGAACTTGCTCAACTTTCAAACGATTTCTGTTATCTGTGAGCACAAGTTTAATTTGCGAAAANTATGCTTGGAAATGTTGAAAATTTTGTTTAGTATCCTAATATTTTACTTCAAATAGTATGTTTTGATATAATCATGTTGGGAAAATGCAAGAATCTGTTCTTAAATATCTTTTAAAAACTTTTTTTCTAATTTTATTTCCCAAAAATGAATTAATTTTAAATTATAAGCAGTTAAACTCAAATAAAAATACAGTTTTACCAAAACTATGGGTTTTTTACAGAGGGTTTTCTGACATGATGTTAAAAACCGTCATGTGTGAAAAACTTGCCAACCCTGGTTTACATATATATGATATCGTTTCAAATATTAGGTGAATCACCCACGGACGCGAACAGAATTTACTTGAGATAACTTTCACTGTGGATTTTTTTATTCTTTCACAAAACTTTTCTTTTGTTGATGGAAGCTTTTAGAAGCACATTTTGTAAAACCTTCGATAATAAAATTAAGTCGACCACACCACTAGTTGGATCTCCACCACTTTTGAATGAGGTTGAAACATTCATATACACTGTCAGCAAGAGGCTCTTCACTAATTGTTGATGTTTCTTTTAACATAATGCATCTAGATTGACCTCGAGCATTGGTGAACACTTAGTTGACCTCGAGCATTGGTGAACTCTCTCTCTCTCTCTTTGACGATTCCTTTTCAAAGACAAACGGAAATTCCATTCTTCAACATAGTAGCAGTGGGCTCTTTTGTTGTTGTTTTTCTTTCATTTTTTATTTATATATTTGAAGGGAGCATTTTATTAATCCTGCTCCCGTTTTCATCAGGCTTTTAACAACATCCTGCATGGCTTATGATGGTGGCAGTCGTGGCCAAACAGGCACAGGATTTTAAAAAGAGCAAATTAATTTTATTTAATTGTTATGTGATGATGGAAAACAAGAGTGAGAGAATACAGGAATAAAAATCAATAGATACAGAATACAGGAAATAAAAATATTATACTGTTAGAACATTTAATAAAACATCAATTAAATTACCAGGTGACCCATGGAATATAAGTTGCAGACTATTGCTCTATCTGCTGAAAAATTAAGAATGGTTTTCTTTCTAGCAGAACATATCTCAGTTCTAATTTTTAGAATTTTATAAAATCTTAAAATGTGTTGTTATTTCTCATCCCCACTAATCTAGCGGAGCTAGACCAGGTCCATGAGTCCATTCATCATCAGGAAATCAAAAAACAAGACCGGGTCGCGCAGAAAATCCTCCTTTTCAAAATCCACACAGCTAAGGAGGTGGGCCGGGCTGGCTGCACTGGAGAAACATTTGTTGCAGATGGGATAGACCTTTTGCTGCTGTTCATACCTCATGCACTTTATGTGACCACTGATTAATCTAGTGAACGCGGTCTGATCGCCTCTATTACCTCTGAAGGTCAAAGCACAACCCGACTTATCCCCAGAGTACCAGAAATGTACTTGGGGGGGTATTCCAGACTAGCTGGACATCTTTCTTTCTACTGGAGTGAATTTCCGAGGATGTGAGTGCCAAACTTTCAGACAGAGGCTCATTTGTGCCAAGTTTTTCCAGCGAGTCAGCAATCTTACTCCCGTATAGACCTACGTGGGACACAATCCACTGCAAATAAATATCTTGCTTCACGGAAAGTTTACTGAGAAGTTGTACAATTGCTATTCCAGCCCTATCGCCCACTCTGGGCCATGCACTCAAATATTGGATAGAGCTACTATCTGTTACGATCCAGATAGGGTCTAGCAGTGAATCCTCTTCAATTGCGTGCAGTCTTGCCTCAATAGCAAAAAGCTCCGAATGGAAAACAGAACAAGAATCCGGGTTCGAGAGCCAGTTGTTGTAGCAATTCAGAAACGTCTGAAGTTTTATTTGTGCTTAATGTCAAATCCGGACAAAAGTGTACTCTTGGAAACCCACCTGAGGGGTCAACGCAACACTTAAGGGAATGTTGTTTGACATCCTGGTAGACTGTATTTAGGGAAATTGCATGTGAAAAAGGGCTATCTCTTCTCAGTCGCTGATTATTGGTTCAATGTAGGAGGTAGTCAGCTGTTCTGTGCTGGGCCCCATAACTGAGTAGTTTACTAAAATATTCAGACTATTCTCTCTTCTCATATTTAATGGCAGAAGGTTTGCCTCAAATAGCACAATTTCACCAGGGGAAGAATGTTGCAAACCTGTAATTATGCGTCCCGCACTCTGTTGAACTCGATCAAGTCTTCGAAGATTGGAGACTGACACACTCAAATAAATTTGTTGACCATACTCTAATATAGGTCTCACAAGAGCGATGTATGTTGTCCTTAGCGTGGTCGTGTCTGCACCCCAGTCACGGCCAGATATGTTCTTAAGGATGTTCAGTCGCTTTCTACTCTTGACCACCAGGGCCTCAATATGTTTGTTGCAAGCAAATTCTGGGTCTAGTACAAAATCCAGATATCTAGGATGCTTTTCATAAGTGAGAGGAATACCTCTCAGAGATATCTGGGGATGATAATTATAAATATGTTTATTGGTGGTGAAAAAGCTTGTCACTGATTTGGAAACATTGAATGTTAGTTTATGTTCTGCAGCAAAATCCTGGACTCTTGCAAGTGCTAGGTTGAGATTTGATTCTAGCTTTTTAATGTCCGAGTCTGAATCCCATAGAACGATATCATTTGCAAATATATCAATCTTGCTGGCTCCATTCAGCCTCTCCTCCAGCCCCCCCCCCCAGAAACAGTGAGAAAAGTGTGGGACTCAAAACTGAGCCCTGAGGGACTCCTTGGAATAGTTTAAAATTGTTGGAGAGGGTGTTGTCATATTTTACTTTGATGAATCTGTTCCGCAGAAAATCCGAGATCCAAGAGAGGGCTCTGCCCCAATGTTGAAGGTCTCATAAAGCTTAACAATAAGTTTGTTTAGCCAGACTCTGTCAGAGGCCTTTGATAAGTCCAGAAATGCAGCAACGGTATGTTTAGTGGGTTTCATATTTTGGGCGTCTTTAAATGTCTTATCTTAAAATGTAGTGGTTGACAATTAAAAAAATAATTTGTCATTATTATTATTATATAATTGTTTTATCAAAACTAAAAGTGTGGCAGATAATGGGATTTTTTTTCATAATTTAAAATGCTGTGTGGTGTAAATTGGTTGTGATGTTTTTTTTTTTTTTTTTAATTTTAGATCCAGTTTTAAAACTTGGAACCAGCAATTTTGAAAGGTATGTTATTTAAATTTTTATGTTTGTAATATTTTTTATTTTTAAATAAAAAGGCTTTATTTCTTTATA